CTCAGTAGTTGAGCTTCGCCCCATGAACCAGGAGGTCACGGTTTGATTCCTGGTCAGGGTACATGCCTGGGTTGCAGGCTTGAGCCCCATTGGGGGGCATGAAGGAGGCAGCCCATGATCAGTGATTCTCTCTCATCATTGATGTTGCTATTTCTCCCTCCCCTTTTCCCTCAAAAATCCATAAAAATGTATTACAAGAAAATTGTATATATCGAATGTGTATAACATGATGATTTGATATGATTACTACATTCAAGGTAATTAACGTATTTATTTACCCAGGTCCCATTTTGTGTGTGTGTGTGTGTGTGTGTGTGTGTGTGTGTGTGATGAGAGCATCTGACATCTACTCCCTTGGCATATTTCCAGTATTCAATACAATATTAACTACAGTCATCATAGACATTAGATATCTAGACATTTCAGAGACATTTTCATCCTACATAAATTAAACTTTATATCCTTTGACCAAACCTCTCCCCATTTTCCCCACTCACTATTAAGTCATTTTAAAGGTAACTTACCCTACATTAAAAAAATAATTGTAATGGTTATTCTCTCTTCTTATATCTGTTCTTTTCTTTCACAGCAGTTATCACTGTTTTTGCTTTTTGTGTATCTTTTTATTCAAAAGTATATCTCCTCTAAATTCTCAGCTGCTAGAAGAGAGCAGCGATTTTCAACCAATATGCTGCAAGAATTTTAAAACATAAAATACCTGACTATTTAGTCAGGAGCACTGACCTCTTTTCTCTTACAGTGTCAAGTAAAAAAAAAAATGGAAACAGCCAACACAACAGTAGTCAAATGGTGTGAATACATCAAAATTATACCGATTTTTTTGTGTCAGATGAGCAAAAAATACATTTTTTGGTGTGCCGAAGAATTTTAGTAATTATTTTTTGTGTGCCATGAGATGGAAAAGGTTGAAAATCTCTGGTATAGAGAATAGCACATAGAAGACCCTAAATAGCTACTTGCACAAATGCAACAGACACGTTAGTACCTGTTACATCACTCAACCAATATTTATTGAGTTCACTCCATTAGTATATACAAGAAGTTTTCTACAAAGTATGGCTCTTCCTAAATAATGGACCTTCACAAAGAGGTGTCAGTCATTATATGCTTTGATAAAAAGAACTATGGATTACACCAGTTTTAGACTACATACTTTGGTCCTGACTGGTGTTGCTCAGTTGGTTGGAGCATTGTCCCGTACACCAAAAGGTGGCGGGTTGGATTCCCAGTCAGAGTACATACCCTCGATGTTTCTCTCTCTCTCTCTCAAATCAATAATAACAAGAACTGCTAGACTATATACTTTGCTTAGTTCACATCTCCTAGTCCAGTGGTCGGCAAACTGCGGCCCCTTGAGTGTGGCTATTCCACAAAATACCACGTGCGGGCGCGCACATTCTGTGCGATTGAAACTTCGTGGCTACACTCAAGGGGCCAAAGAGCCACATGTGGCTTGCGAGCCGCAGTTTGCCGACCACTATCCTAGTCCCTTTCCTCTAAGAGATACAAGAGACCTTATTTTTAAGTAAGCTATTTCTATACACTGTTGAGGTCATCATAAACTATATAAAGTATCTATAAAACAGTGCAAAATGGACTTCATGGGCTTCTCACTGTTTAGATCTACATTCCATCTGTATATCAAAATGCCTCCCTCTACATGCTTGTTCCCCAGACCTCAAAAGGGGGTCATATGATCTCATACTTTTGGTCAGTTTACCATATGTGTTGAGCATTAACTGACAACCAATAATTCAATATTTTCACAGAAATTTCGTTGGAAGAAGAAACATAAATTGAGTTTTTCCTTGGCAACTTATGATATCTCACTTACATAGTGTGCAACTGTAAAGGCAAAGCAAGGGAGATGAACCACGTGGGTGAGCTTTAAAGACTAGCACGCTCCTTTCCAGTTTGTCCTCTAAGTTTTGTGTATATTTTCTAGGCTGAGCAGACAATGTCAGAAACCACAGAAGTGACTTTAATCCAGTTCTAATCGCTGGTGAGGGGAAAAAAATTCTCTGGTGGTTTAGAGGAATGGCAAAAACTAAATCAAGATAAGGAAACACACTAAACAAGTTATTCGCTAAATTGGTTTACATTCGGCTCACTAATAGATTTTCTTCTAGGCATGTCCAAGAGATGCAAAATTTAAAATGTAACTAATACCACCTTACCAGGGATGCATCTTGTGCCAAGCACTGGGTAGAATTTCCCTGGGGAAACTACAGAAGCATGAGCAGTTTGGTTCTGCCCCAGTGCAAGTAACTAACTGAATGAATGAATGAATGAATGAGTGGGTAAATGGATAAATTAATGAATAAATGGTTAGAAAACCATTTAAAAATACATCTACAGTTTATTGATGATTTTTTAAAAACATATTTTATTGCTTTTTTTACAAAGAGGAAGGGAGAGAGATAGAGAGTTAGAAATATCGATGAGAGAGAAACATCGATCAGCTGCCTCCTGCACACATCCTACTGGGCATGTGCCTGCAACCAAGGTACATGCCCTTGACCGGAATGGAACCTGGGACCTTTGAGTCCGCAGGCAGACGCTCTATCCACTGAGCCAAACCCTTGTGCTACTGTAATGAATATTGAGGCCATTTCCCTAAGACTGTGAGAGTAAACACAGTTTTCATGAAATGTGCCTTTCCCATCACTGGTCCATAGTGTTTCCCATGACTCTGCAGTTGAGTATCTTGGCTGAGAGAGGATCTGGCCATTAGAAAGAGGGCTCTAGATATGCTGAGCCCCAGCCGTGCCGAGAGACTTGGCACCTTCCTATGCTACTTGCTAATACCAGCCCCAGCATAAAATGTCATCAGAAGCCTGCATAAACATTGGACTTAGCTTCACATAAATTATTTCTGTCCTAAGGTGCTTGATGCCAGAATTTAGTAAAAACAGCACTTTGAGTAAATAGAATTGGCATATAAATGTGAGAATATTAATCCAACAAAATGATCGTAGAAAAATATTATCAAAAGTACACACTTGTAAATCTTGCAATGATGTGAGAGGTTTATCTCGTGCCTCTGAGTTTTTATTGAATATTTCCATAGAGTTCCTTTAAACTGACGCTGCCAAGGTGCTTTGAATGATCAGCTTCTTTGTGGAATTGTGGTCTTTGAGTTTCATTAAAATGCTTAGGAATTATTTTAATAATCATATGTGTGGTTAGTGCCTGTTTAGTACTGGATCTACAAATTCATTTTAAGAGTAAACACCAAGACAATGAAATATAATGCCAGATATGATTGCTCCTGTCAGCAAAAACATTGTCTTATTTTATTAAAAACTCCAACAAAATGGCATGAACAAATGATACAGTGTCTATTTGCAGATATTTCCCACTCTACAGTATTATGGTATCTGCACACCACAAGGCTGTACCTAGCAGAATTGTCATCTTGCCTGGGTTATGCACATAAACAGAGGTACGGAGCCCTTTTTCATATGTGCACGCATCTTATTAGGTACAGGTTCCCCCAAAGCCCTATTTGGATTTCTGCTCTAATATAACAGTGCTCACACCGTCAGTACTGAGTATTTATAAGTGAATGAAGATTTCCTGAAAATGATTATTTAGCTATTGGCAATAATAACATTATAACATTTTCAGTGATCCATTTTGGCTTTAAGTACTTATTAAATAATATTTATTCCTCAAATATGTACTTGCAAAATTAAATGAGATTGCAACATGCAATAAAAACACATTTCTCTCTCAACTCGAATTGACTCCATTCCTCACAGATATCTCTCGTCGTGTTCATTCTGCTTTTTACTGTTTTCTACTCTCGCTCTGAACTCTCTGCTGTTCTCTCTGATGTGTTGATATGCTTTCCCCGAAGCCACACTCTTTATCCACTTTCCCTACCCACTCGTCCCCTTCTTGTTATTCTCCATTCCCTACTGACATGGGAATAATAGGATCCCAAGGCTGTCCTTACACTATAATTAAAGTATGAATTTCCAGGAGTTGGAAATTGCAGACCATTTTTATTATGCTTCTATAATAAAGCCAGGTAACACTGAGAGAATTAAAATAGCTTTGTCCTAGCAGATAACTTGGTAAAGATTTTTTCTCCTTGGTTCTATTGTTTGAAGAAATTGGGAGCTGAAAATGGGAATAGATTCACCAATTCTTTTTTCTGAAAACACCTCTATCTTTTACGTGATATATATCCCCCCAGATCCTGGGGATATGTTGTAAACTTGTAACAGATGGTGATGAAGCTTCATATTTTTATATAATACATTTTTTTTGAGATTCTGCATCTACTGTATGTATCTTCCAGGGAAAATGACCTTGAAGGAATGAAGTCATAGTCTGAAGGAAAAACACCTCACAGATCGACTCGCACAGCAATGATGAGTCAATTGGATTTTGTTTTGTTCCCCTCGGTGAGATGGAATAATATCAGATGAAAAACAGAATGTTGAAATATGAGGATCAAAGGTCATCTTAACATTGGAGGTGCCTCTGTTAATTGTTCCAGGAAAACCGGTTAGCTGCATTCTGACTGAACCAGAAACACATGGGAGATGGAATAGCACTGTTTGCAAGTAGAAATGCTATTTGCTTCACTTGGGTAATGTTGGGGCCTTACCAAAAATTGTTCTGGCACAACGTCTACCAGCATGAATGTTAGGAGGGTTCTAACACTCGGAGTGCTGATATTTTATGAATGTTTTATCACTGGCTTGAAAACAAGAAGTTTGCAATTGAATCAACAACATGTCAGACAGACAAAATATTAAAAAAAAAGAACATTAGTGAGAATTACTGATGTCCCTATTGTAAAAACAAACTGAAGTTAATAAGAAACGTGATCCTCTTAACCGATTAACAAAAGTCAGGTTTTAATTGCACAGCTTCCCCGGCAAATCAAGTGGCACTGTGAACTTGAGCATTGGTTGTGTAGTGTGCAGTAAAGGGGAGACATGGCTGCATATTCAGTTACCCACCTCTTTTTTCGACAGCTTCAATGCATTGCTTTACGAATCGCGGAACTGTGGAATTTTCACGTTCACACACTTTGTGCAGATGAGAGCCAAAAATTTGATCTGCAAAAGAAACAAAGATGAGCTTCATTAAAATCCAAGCTTGTGTTGTTCTTTAATTTGATTCTGTTTCCTTATTCACTGCATGATGGAATCTGCATCTTGCATAGGAATCAATTTTTTCCTTTAATTCCGGAGTGTCTATTGCAGGCATGCAAAGACCATAACTCTGTCCCTTATAGAACAGGACCCCAGGTCCAGAGAAAGAAAACCAACAACGATTAAGTAGGGGTGCCTGAGTGAATTATAGTCTCTCTGGGCTTAACTTTGTTGTCTATAAAATAATGAAAGAGAATTAAGTAAACTTCTACAAAATAATGAATCTTAATGAACTGATGTTTTGAGTGTTTTAGAAGAATTTTTCAATGATCATCAAAATTATGATTTTGTCAGTATACTTAGAAAATTCATTCTGTGGCTCAATGATATTTGATGAGGCAAGTGCCAGGAGACTTAACTTGGAAGTGAATTTCTAAACATTTCTTCTGCCTCAAATGCCCTTCCTCTAATCTAAGTATCCCATTTCCTTTTGGGCTCAGCCCAGAGAGCACTTTCTCCACAAACTCTATCCTTCTCATCTCAGCTCTGTGTCTCCAGTAGCATAGGTTATCTGGAATACCAGTTCCTCAGGATATTAATAGGTGATGTGGGGGAAAGGGCTGTGGTCAAAACGGTTTAGCAACATCGGGTTAAACAAAGTTAACCAGTTTCTTTTAAGTATATTTGTTTTAGAGCTTGCGATGTGCCAAGGCCTCCTGGGAATCTCCGTGAGGGGCCTGAAGAATCACTATTTCCCACACTTATTCGGGTAATTTCAAAGGGAATCTCTGGAGACTAATGTTTCCGAGAACACACTGGGCGAAATCCTAGCCTAGCCCTCTCATTTAGAACGTGATTTATGCCACCGTGCATTGTGTATTTACATTTATAATATATGAAATACATTTTCTCAGAGTAGATCCTGAGCGCCTGCATCATCCATGTATTCTTAGAGTCACCAGTGCTTTGCACGGATTCTGGCCCACAGGATTCAACTACAGAACTTGAAATTGTGGTCAAATATACATAACATAAAATGTACCATTCTAACCATTTTTAAGTGTACAGTTCAGCGGCATTAAGTGCATGTATTTTGTTGTGCAACCGATACCACAAATCCATTTGCCATTTGCAAACTTTAAAAAATAGCATAATTCATTATTACTGATAGAAACAAATATTTAGTAGCTTCAAGTAGTTGCTCAGAATGAAATCTAATTCCCTATCCCAACTTACAAGGCAGCTCAAGACCAGACCTTCCACCCATTAATTGATTTCATTTGCTACCCCTCTCCCCTGCATCACTTGCCTACAGCCCCTCTGCCCACACTGCTGATCCTTGTCCATACATCTGCCTTTGAACTCTGCACTTATTATTTCCTGTACATGGAACTCTATTGCTCTAGGTCTCTGATTAAATGCCACCTTCTGATTGTAGCCTATTTACTCCTTAAAAAACTGGCAAGCCCTGCCAACAGAACTCTCCAGGTCACTTCCCTGCCTTACTTCTCTTAGAGCGCTTCTCCCCACCTTACATATTACAGTGATATATTTACTGGTTAGTTGCTCATTTTGCTTAGAATGTTAGGCTTAGGGAAGTAAGAACTATACCTACTTCTTTTATTATTGGATCCCAGTAACTAGACAATGTTTGGCATATACTAGAAGTTCAATACCTATTTACTCTTTAAAAAACTGGCAAGCCCTGCCAACAGGAACTCTCCAGGTCACTTCCCTGCCTTACTTTTCTTAGAGCGCTTCTCTCCACCTTACATATTATAGTGATATATTTACTGGTTAGTTGCTCATTTTGCTTAGAATGTTAGGCTTAGGGAAGTAAGAACTATACCTACTTCTTTTATTATTGGATCCCAGTAACTAGACAATGTTTGGCATATACTAGAAGTTCAATAAAATTAATTGAATGATTGCCCAAAAGACATCATCTGAATAATGTGTGGAGATTTTCAATGAATTTAAAAGTTATCTTTAGCAGAATAGAGGAGAAAATATAAAATGCAGCATAATAGAAATCTAAATACTATATTATTACAAAGGGATAGTCAAAATGGAATGTGGTGAAACTTCAAGGAAGTCATGATTTTAATTCATTTCTTAGGAAAAGTGATGGCTTGAAGTTGGGACAACCCAGCAGGGAGGGAAGTGATTAAGGCTATAGAACTAATACTAATGTACTACGATATGAAACTGTGCATTTTTATTCAAGAGACAGAAAGGTCAAGATGCCTCAACATAGTGCAGAGAGGAAAATAATAAAATATCAAAGTTATGTTAAAAAACAGTGAGCCACCACCATAGGAAAGAATGACATAAAATATTAAGAAAAATAACCTAGAACCTCAGATAGACTAATTTACCTTGGTTAGATTTATAATCAGATATAATTGCTATAAAGTATAAACTCCTTTAATGAAAATCATAATCCAAATCAAGTTCACAAATATTTATTATCTTTTATCATTATAGCAATGAGGTAGGCATATTAGATGATAAAATAGAAATCAAGAAGTTTATAATCTTATATGAATTAATAGGAGTATTTAAATAATAAACCAAACAACATAAGAGGTGTCAGAAAAGATACTAAGTGCTAGGAAAGGTGTCCTGCAGTATAGGTATTTTCATGACATTCAGTGCAGATGTGGTTTGTGTGTGGTGGGGCGGGGGAGATGTTTGTGAGATGAGGGCCGTTTAAGAAAAATAGATTTCTCTATAAAGTGTATATTAAAATCTGGAGAAATTTTCTTTTGTTAGGTAGCTACAGAAGACATGAAAGCATTTTAGGGCATTTACTCTTTAACTCACTCAGTTATTTGCAAATGAAAATCCTGAGTGCCTGCTCTGTGCCAGGAACTAGGAAGGGCAGCGTAATATAATAACCAAGATGTGTTACTTATGCGCTAAAAATGTCTTATCTAGTAGGAAGCATAGAAATAAACTGGTAGAAACACTTCATCATGGAAAGTCCAGTAACTGGGGAAGCACAGATGCAAGGAGAGGATGTGGCAGGGCATCAGACCAGCCTTGAGTCCCCATGGGAGACTTCCCAGAGAAGAGATGAATCCTCAAGACTAAGACTTAAACTGGAGAGTTAAGAGAGGGGACAAAGGGCACTTGGGAAAGACAGAGAGGGGAAAACAAAGGCATCAGTGATGGGAAGAATGATAGAAAGAATGTAGTGTGCTGAGGGAAACATTCACTCTCTCTTATTTAGACAAATCTTGATGTATTAAGCTTTCAAAGGAGAAAAATTGTGTTGATGAAGGATCTTGAATATTAAGTCAGGTAGTTTAAATTATTTGAGAGTGTGCAGGTACCATTGATTTCTTACATATATGCTATTTCCCTCCCAACTTCTTATTTTTAGAGTCTACTCATAATACAACATCTGGAAATTTTATCCAATGACTGCTGCTTCCATTATAGCTTTGGGTGATTAGATAGTTTTGGACAGTGAAATATAAGGGGAAGAAACTTAGAAAACTACAAGAGAAGATTTTTTTATCTGATAAAAGAAGAGGGGTGTATGAAGATACTTTCTTTTTTTCTTCTGCTTTGAACATCACTGTGAAATCATGTGATGCTGGGAGATATTGCAGCAATTTTATAACCATGAGGCAACAAGCCTGCAAGCATAAGATAACATGATAAAAACAACACCTAAATCTACAAAAAACCTGAGACTTCAATGACATTGTTGAACTTTCAACCCAATCCTAAAATACATTCTCTAGACCAGTGATGGTGAACCTTTTGAGCTCGACGTGTCAGCTTTTGAAAAACCCTAACTTAACTCTGGTGCCGTGTCACATATAGAAATTTTTTTTATATTTGCAACCATAGTAAAACAAAGACTTACATTTTTGATATTTATTTTATATATTTAAATGCCATTTAACAAAGAAAAATCAGCCAAAAAAATGAGTTTGCATGTCACCTCTGACACGCGTGTCATAGGTTCCCCATCACTGCTCTAGACTTTTTGTTATATGAGATAATATAACTGGGTATTCTATTGCCTGCAACCAAAAGGTTCATAACAAAATCTGGGGCACAAATCATGTGGAAAATTAGACATAAGGAGCTTATTTAAAGGCTAATCTGATTGCCTAGGAAAGATGTTATGGATACCAGAATCAGAAAAGAGGTGTGGTAAATTTAATCATTCTTCATAATGCTCATCTCCTCGAATTAGATGTATATATTTAAATACTTTGCCATGAGACTTACTAGAGTGAGCATGTTTTATTTCCTCAATGTCTTTATGTTGGGCGTGGCCATATGACTTGCTTTGGACAATGCAGAGTGAGTAGAAATAATAATGTTTCATTTCTAGACTGAGACCTTAAGATGCAATACAAACTTCTACTTTCCTGCTTACTTCTCTGCTATGACCCAGACAAGAGCTTCCCTGGGTAACTTACTTGACCCTTCAGTCTGGACTCCAGAATAAATACATATGGCACAGAACAGAAGCTGATTCTCAATGAGGAGGCAAGGGCAGTCCGATCTATAGCTTAGAGCAAAGCTGTTCAGTCAAGCCTGACCTAATCTGTCTAACTCACAGACACATGAGAAGTGAATGCTTTTTGCTGTATGCCACTGAGATTTTGTGTTTGTTCGTTACGCAGCAATAGCTAATTGATGAAGATGATAACAGGTAACAGTCTGTTTTGTTTTTTTGTGGGGGTTTTTTTGGTGATCTAAGCAATGCTGTGAGAATAAAAACAAAGAGAGTTGATGGAATATGGAAACTGAAACTGGAAAGAAAATAGAAAAAAATAAATCTAAATTTGCTAAGAATGTGGAATTATACATCAGTTTAGATCAGTGGTTCTCAAGCTGTGGGCCGCGACCCCTTTGGGGGTCGAACAACCCTTTCACAGGGGTCGCCTAAGACCATCGGAAAACACATATATAATTACATATTGTTTTTGTGATTA